GTGCTGGTTTTGACCTTTAAAGCCCTATGCGGCCTAGGACCCACGTACCTATGGGACCGCCTCTCCTGGTTTGCCCCACGGAGGACCTTAAGGTCCACAAATGACAACATTTTGGAGGTCCCATGTCACAAGGTGGTTAGATTGGGCTCAACTAGGGCCAGGGCCTTTTCAGTAGTGGCCCCCGACTTGGTGGAACACTCTGTCACAAGAGACTAGGGCCCTGTGGGACTTGACATCTTTCTGCAGGGCCTGCAAGACAGAGCTGTTCAGCCTGGCCTTTGGTTTGGACTCAGTCTGACCCTTATGTTTCCCTCCCCTTATGGTTTTGATCTATGGGCTATTATTAAAAGGAGGCTGCATTTTAAATTCCATTGTAACCTGTAAAAAACCTGTAAAAAATTGGGTCTCCCCCCCCCCCATTATTATTTTACTGTAATTTTACTGGTTTTAGCTGCCCTGAGCCCGGGGCATAAATAAAAATTATTATTATTATTATTATTATTATTATTATTATTATTATTTCTCCAATATGATTACAACAGCCATGACACAGAACTTGTTTTTTTTAAAAAGATGTGTTTTGCATGTGGGTTTTGAAATCTGCTCATTTGTAAATCATTGCTCTAAAATCCATTTCTCATTTGACTCAGTCCATGTGTGAGAGAAGGACGTTGCCTCCTGTTTAGCAGCATAAAAACATTCTAGGGGAAATGATTAGAGGTTTAGCAAGAGGGCCAGAGAAATTCAGTGGGCCTCAAATAATAATAAAAATGACTTCTGTGTCAAATAATTATGAATGCACCTTCTCAACAAATACATTTCATTCCCAATCCTAACTGCACAGTCTACAATATCCATGCACATTCCATTTCTTCCCCATTCAAAAAGAATTCAGGCATTTATTTATGGACACTTCACCACCACAAAAACCACAGAGAACATGCAGCCAGTTTGTAAATCACTCTGCATTGCTTCACAGAGGTTAAGACGAACATGGGGCACATCTGTGGCATGGAGAGGCTGCCAGTTGATGCCCCCATGCGCTAACCTGGCCAGCCTGCAGTCATGCTTCACAGAACAATGCAAAGTAACAAAATAAAAAAACCCAAACAAAACTATACAAACAAAACAAATGTAGTATTTGTATATTTCTCAAATTCAGTGAAATTTTTATATAGTACAGGCCTAAGAAACGTGGATTTCTCAATGAACCCAGAATTTATGGCTAGCAAAGAAGTGATAGAAAATGCAAGAAAGAAAGAGAAACCAAAATATTGTAATGTCTGATGGCTCTAAAGAGCGTGTTGAGCTTGTAGGCTGGTGCTTGGCTGACATTTGAGAAAGTACAAACACTCCAGTGTAAAGAGTCAACTGTGGCTGATTTAGCTTAGGCCAGAGTGGAGAATATACATTTCCAAATAGTGCAAAAACAAACATTTCAGAGAAATAACATGTAACATTGTGTGGTTTAACCAACCATGGGTTGTTCTTCTGCATGTGCTACATGTTTTAGAGACAATATTGCATTGTCATAGATGAGAAATCACAGAATGTCTGACAGCAGACTGCAGTGCTAGACTTACGTCCCTGCATAAGAACAGCTGAAGGAGCTCAGGAGGAGGTTCTCGTAAGGGATCATATTCTCCAGCCCAGATTTCTTCTCTCTCAGGCAGATCCAGACTTTTACCTGCCTAAAATTACTCTCTGAATGTGGTAGACATTTCCTCTTTGTCTTTCACTTTTACAGTCTGTTTTGTGCAGAAATCAATCTCAGTAACATAAACACTGGATCATAGGAGCCAACTCCAGCGGGCCGTGTGTGTGTGTGTGTGTGTGTGTGTGTGTGTGTGTATTTGTGGGGGCCAGGCACCCACAAAGTCAATGAGCAAAGCTGGAGAGAGGCAGCCAGCCGGCCAGCCAGCCAGCCTCTGCTGTGCTGCCTCCGAGAGAGAAGCAGTCCAGCTCCACCCTCTGCAGTCAGAGAGGGAGGCACCCTTTTCCAGGTGGGGGGTGGTCTCTCTGCCTCCGAGTCTGAGCCCCTCCCTACCGAAAAGGGTGCCTTGCTGGCTGTGGAGAGGAAGAGGAGCCACCACTGGCCGCCATCAACGTCTCGTGCACATGCCTGCACATAGTGCATGTGATGTCATACGCATGACGCGCAACGTCCATTGCATTTTTGGAGGAGCCCACATGACAATGACGGGCACCTGCAATAGCGAGAGTGAGATGGCATCCCTGCACTGGATGCTCATGGAGATTTAGCAGATCCTTTCAAATGTTTGATTAACACAAGAGCTGGCAAACTCTGTTTTCCCTTTCTGAATGCATAAGTTTAAGACAGCACAGGGGCTCAATAATCCCCAGTATTTATATTTTATTTATTTCAAAACTATTATAAAGTTCTCCAAGGTAAGTATGTTGCAAGCTGTTTCACAACCTGACTAGAGTTAGTAAGAGGCATCTGATGTGGTTATCACCTTAGGAGCTCAAATCATGAGTAACAGCAGTTACTTAAGAGTTCAAATAATCAGTATCAACAGTAGAACAGATTTATCTGAATCTCTATGTAAGGCTTTAGCACTTCCCATCCTGTTAAAAGACATTTACAGCCACAGTCAGCTTTTGTCTTGCCCCTTCTCCATTTACATGGTTCTAAACTACAATCAGCACACCACTTTAGAAAAAAGCACACACCCCAGGCAAATTTCTGCAGAATGTGTTGCACTATGCCACATCCTTAGTACAACATCAATAAATGGCCACTTATAGAGGAGCAGATGTTTGTTGAAGGAAGCCCCAAACTTTGTGACTCTCCCTATTCCCACTCTTCCCTTATACTCACAAAAGGAAGATTCTTGCAATATATGAAAAAGATGGAAAGACAAACTCAAGAAGATAATTGCATGGATGCCATCCCTATTTTTGTTTGCTTGCATGCGATGCTATATTTGAGAACAAAAGAGGAAGGATAATTTGAAAGAGGAAATCCCTTTTCTAAAGATAGTTTAGATATTTAAAACCATTAGGATGAAAAGAGCATAATGGTTTTCTAGCAAAAAATCCCATTATGCAGATATATTGTGAAGCAGGAGGTTAGGATGAATGCCAGAGCTGATGACTACACTTTATCCAGACGTGAACAACTGGAGAAACCAACCTGCCTCTTGCTACAATCCATGTTCTTGAATTCTACAGGAACCCATGAGCTGCCCTGCAGAAGCCCAGGCTCACCTCAGGGATGCCCTTGATGTCACAGGGGATCTATTAGTACAGATGGAATCATTTGGACCCACCACTGGAACAAGGCCTCATTATGAAATGCCACCCACATGTACATTCAAGTGGCGGGAAGGTAAATGGTGTTTCCGTGCGCTCTGGTTTCTGTCACGATGTCCTGTTGTGCCAGAAGCGATTTAGTCATGCTAGCCACATGACCCAGAAAGCTGTCTGTGGACAAACGCCAGCTCCCTTGGCCTGAAATCGAGATGAGCGCCACAACCCCATAGTTACCTTTGACTGGATCTAACTGTCCAGGGGTCCTTAACCTTTTTTTTTTTTAACATTCAAGTAGAAAAGGTGTGCAAATTTTCTCCAGCATGCCTGTGCTAAGCGTAGTCTTGTTCTTGCATTCCAATGGCTGCACAATCTCAGGCTAGCCTGGTCTGCCCTTGCATGTTGCCCCGGGTGGCACCAGGAGGATTAATTAAAACAGAACTCCGCGTTTTCAGATGGCCAGACAAATGAATTCTTAGGACAACAGAAATGTATGGAAACATTTAGATTGGAAACACATTAATAACATTGAACCTGCGCATAGTGCTTTCCAGAGTTCAAAGTTCTTCCCATTCATTCTCTAGTCAGCCACCATAGAATGTAAGTAACGCAGCTGGATTCAACTCAATAGTTGTATTAGTGAGAGACAGCACAATGAGTCACATCACCACAACCAGACTTTCCCACCTGTCTTCACCAAATCAGCTCTAGGGCTTCCAGAGAACTCCCAGAACAGTGCGGGGGGGGGGGGAGCATTCAATTTGGCAAGCAGAAATGCTTACACTGATGGAATCATTGCCTTAGCGTGACATTGAATTCTGCCCGATTCTTACCACCCACCCTGTAGTTGGGAGGACTGAGGCTAAGACAGTGGCTTCCTTCAGGCCAGCCACTGAATTTGTAGTGGAGATAGGAAGATATGACCAGGTACCTCCTCTTAGCCAATGTGCTACACCAGCTCTAAACCATATACAAAGCAACCAACTTTTGTTGCTTAATAGTTGGATGACACCTATAATCTTCTAATAAATATTTTGCCAGTATCTCAGAGAGTTAATAGCAGCAATCAGGCAGGTCAAAAGATTACAGCTGGCATAAACCAGCCCAAGATCCAGAAATAACTTTCAGAACCGAATGTTTAGTAGCTAACTGGGTTTCATGTTTATGCTCCAGAAGCAAACTAGGGGATGGGGGGAAATGAAGCAGGTTGGCATGATCTACACTACAGCCTTAAATTGGCTTAAGAGTCACTCCCTCTTCCCAGGAAACTTGGATCTAAAAGAATTCGCAGCATTTTCACACAAACTACAATTCCCAGGATTCTTTTGGGAGATGCCATGACTATTAAACTGGTAGAAAACCATTGCACGGTCATCATGTAGATATACATGATGTCTTAGATCAATATACATTATGTCTTAGATGTACCATTCAATGTATCATGAATAATAAAATTTGTTAGTTTTAATGTGAATTACATGTGTTGAAAAGGAAATGCATAGCTTAGCAAAGTTATGGTTATTAGGAAATGTTGTTAATATGACCTTGTGAAATTAACAATTTAAGTGGCAGGCATGAACATAATTTTTTCATTATACTTTCCTGTATTGTTTTGAGTCCTCTATCTTGAGCCATTTATTGAGAGTGTTAAAAATGATCTGGTAAGATATCACCTGATTGGAGTTTGATACCTGACTTTGGAGTATGAGAATCATAAACGTGCTTACGGTCTATCTGGTCTGCAAACACTTCCCCATAGATCATCCAATACGGCATGTAAAAAATATTCTTTGCCAGTTTCCAGGAAGGCTCCTCATTGGGAAAAAGTATTGCCTGTCTTGCAACACCAAAGCTCATCAGAACCACCAACATAATAATGACAAAATACATCATGTCTATCATCTGAAAAAAAAAGAAAAGAGAGAGAGACAGAGAGAGAGAAATATATCTAGTTTGACATGCTATAAGGTGAGTGAAAATGTTTATAAAGCACAAAGATCAAATTGGTGTTACAGATTTGGGAGGGGGACCCCCCCAAACCCTAGAAATTAATGAATGGTAGGATTTTGATTATTTGGGACATGAAGGGAAGAACACACGCTCCAGAGGGATTCCTGGGCGAGCCTATGCAAAATGACCTGGCCAAGGTAGGGCCATTAAGAAACAATATGGGGCCATTGAGAGCCATTGGCAAGGCAAGAAAATTCCTTTCCCCCTGCCCTGAGGTGTGAACAGAGACAGGTGTTTGTTTTTTAAAATAATTTTTATTAAGCTTCATATTACCAAATTAAACACATCAAACCAATTAATCCAAATTATAACAATACATATCATGTAATCCAATTGTTTTCCAAATTATAAATTTTTGTGGGGGTTACCCATGCTTCTTGATCGGCAGGAGTCCAATCCTCGAATATTTGTGCTGCTTTCATCTTAAGAATGATATTTCCAGTCCCCTCTTCTCAATCCTTGTCGTTACTCATTTTCCTTTTCATTCACCTCTGAGTTGCTCCGCAAGTGGGTTGAAAAAACAGTCTTATTTGTGTTTTTGTGTGGGCTTTGTACTGCTCTCTCGTAAATCACTCTCATCCAATAGTCCAGGCATTTCCGCTTGAGCAAGCAATCGCCATTTTGTCATTCTGATGAAATACAGTCTAAAAGCTCGCTCTTTAACTTTCCTGACCTGTTGCATCGTAAATTAGTCTTTTTCCAGGAGGGCTGCCCCTTCCAGATCGCAATCTCCTCGAAAATAATAAATCTTTGGCTCGCCCTCTCCAAGACCAAACCTCCTGCAACACAGGTCTCGTATCACATCTCCATTCTAACTGCGTCACAAAGAGAGCCCTTCTTCTTTCCAAATCCTTCACAGAGTAAAACCTTTAAGTTCATATTATTCCCACACAATTCATTTTTTTTAAAATAATTTTTATTAATTTTCCAAACATATAATAAAAACAAACAATATAACAAAACAAAACATACACACAAATAAACATAAATAATTTCTTAGACTTATTTTCTTTCACCTTGCTTCCCGGACTTCCCCATACCTCCCTTTTCCTGCATCCTTATATTTACCCTTTCTCAGCAACCCTCCATTCAATTAGTTAGCTAATTTTCATATGATTTCCTTAAGCTTGTGATTTACAGCTGCAATTCTCTGTTTCTTAACACCATAACATCTCAGCAATCATCAATTTTACAACAGTTTTTAAGGTATATTTTAAATTTCTTCCAGTCTTCTTCCACTGTCTCACTCCCCTGGTCACGGATTCTGCCGGTCATCTCCGCCATTCCCATATAGTCAATCACCTTCGCTTGCCATTCTTCCAGAGTGGGTAGCTGCTGCGTCTTCCAATACTTTGCCAGAAGAATTCTTGCCGCTGTAGTAGCATACATAAAAAAAGTTCTGTCCTTCCTTGGCACCAATTGGCCCACCATGCCCAGGAGAAAGGCCTCTGTTTTTTTAAGAAATGTCCATTTAAGGACCTTTTTAATTTCATTGTAGATCATTTCCCAGTAGGCTTTAATCTTCGGGCAGGTCCACCAAAGGTGGTAGAAAGTACCTTCAATCTCGTTACACTTCCAACATTTATTATTGGGCAAATGATAAATTTTTGCAAGTTTGACTGGGGTCATGTACCATCTATAGATCATTTTCATTATATTTTCTCTCAAAGCGTTACAAGCCGTAAACTTAACACCTGTGTTCCATAACTGTTCCCAATCATCAAACATAATATCATGACCTATGTCTTGTGCCCATTTAATCATAGCTGATTTTACTGTTTCCTCTTGTGTATTCCATTTCAGCAGCAAATTATACATTCTTGACAAGTTCTTAGAATTGGATTCTAACAATTCTGTTTCTAGTTTCGACCTCTCCATCTGAAAACCTATTTTCCTGTCCTGTTTAAATACCTCATTTATCTGAAGGTAATGCAACCAATCTCGTACTTTAGACTTTAATTTGTCATAACTTTGTAATTTAACTCTTTCACCATCTTGTTCTAAAATTTCACAATATTTTGGCCATTTGGACTCCATATTAAGTTTTTTAGTCTCTTTAGCCTCCATTGGTGATAACCACCTGGGAGTTTTACTTTCCAGTAGATCCTTATATCTTATCCAGACATTGTACAATGCTTTCCTAACAATATGGTTTTTAAAACCTTTATGCATTTTTACCTTGTCATACCATATATATGCATGCCAACCAAATCTATTGTCGTACCCTTCCAGATCCAAAATGTCTGTATTCTCAAGAAGCAGCCATTGTTTCAACCAGCAAAACGCTGCCGATTCATAGTAAAGTCTCAGGTCCGGCAGGGCAAACCCCCCTCTGTCTTTTGCATCAGTTAAGATCTTAAAGTTAATTCTGGGCTTTTTGCCCTGCCAGACAAATTTTGATATGTCTTTTTGCCACCTCTTGAAACAGTCCATCTTGTCCAAGATCTGGAGTGTCTGAAATAAAAACAACATTCTAGGCAATACATTCATCTTTATAACAGCAATTCGGCCTAACAAGGAAAGTCTCAACCTTGACCATATTTCTAGATCTTTTTTCACCTCTGTCCAACATTTGTCATAGTTGTCTTTAAATAAATTCACATTTTTTGAAGTCAAGTTCACACCCAGGTACTTCACCTTTTTTGTTATTACTAAACCTGTTTCACTCTGAAACTTCTCTTTTTCTGCCATTGTTAGATTTTTCTCCAACACTTTAGTTTTTTGCTTGTTCAGTTTAAATCCTGCTACTTGACCAAATATCTCAATTAGTTCTAATACTCTTTTAGTACTAGTATCTGGCTGTTGCAAAGTCAATACTAAGTCATCTGCAAATGCCCTTAGTTTGTAATTTCTGGCTCCGACCTGAACTCCTTTAACCAACTGGTCCCCTCTGATCATGTTTAACAAAACCTCCAGGACTGATATAAAAAGTAAAGGGGATATTGGGCATCCCTGTCGTGTACCTTTTTCTATAGGTATTTCTTCCATAACCACATTGTTCACAATCAACTTTGCTTTTTGCTTAGAGTATATAGCACCTATACCATTTTCAAAACCTTGGCCTACCCCCATCCCTTGGAGATTCTTTTTCATAAAGGTCCAACAAATGTTATCAAAGGCTTTCTCCGCATCCACAAAGATTAACACCGCCTTTCTATTAATGTTCACTTCCAACAACTCCAAAATGTCTATAATGTTCCTCACATTGTCCGACATATGTCTCCCTGGGAGAAAGCCTGTTTGGTCCTTATGAATCTCCTCTACCAAAACTCTCTTCAATCTTTTTGCTAAAATGTCTGCAAAGATTTTATAATCCACATTAAGTAATGATATAGGGCGGTAGTTTTTAACCTGGTTCTTTTCAGTCTCTGTTTTCGGTATAAGTGAAATAAAAGCTTCTTGCCACGATTCGGGTGCCTTTTTCCCTTCCAAAATTTCATTACAGACCTCCTTCAGTGGTTGTATTATCCATTCCTTCAGTGCCTTGTAATATCTAGCAGTCAAACCATCCGGTCCTGGGGATTTTCCCAGTTTCATGTTCTGAATGGCATCCTCTATTTCTTGTCCTGTTATTTTCTCATTCAAAATCGTTTTACTTTGATCTGAGATCTTTGGTAATCCATATTTCTTAATAAATTCTTCTATTTCCTGCTCATTCACTGGCCCTTGTGCATATAGTTTCCTGAAGAAACTTTGAAAACAATTATTTATCTCGTTTGGTTTGTGGATAATTTTACCTTCCATTTCCAGACTTGTCACGGTGTTCAGTTTTTGTCTCTTTTTCAATTGCCATGACAGAAGTTTTCCACATTTGTCTGCTGATTCAAATGTCCTTTGTCTCATTTGCTTTATCTTCCATTCTATCTCTTGATTCATCAGTTCCATATATTGCGTCTGGTAATACTTTATTTCTCTCAAAATCTCATGGGACTTTGGTTTAGACCTCAATTTCTTTTCAGCTTCTTTTACCTTTTCCAAAAGTTTTTCTTTCCTCTCATTCTGCTTTTTCCTCTTTATGGAATTTTGTTGTATTAGGAAACCTCGCATCACGGCCTTGCTAGCATCCCAAACTATTCTTTTCTCCACCTCAGTTCTCAAATTTATCTCAAAATAGTCTTTCAGTGTTTTTTGGGCCTTCTTATAAATCTCTTCATCTCTAAATAGGGTGTCATTCATCCTCCATCTGAAGGTTCCCGTTGTTGTTAGTTTCATCTCCATCTTCACAGCATTATGGTCGGAGCAGGTCTTTGGGCAGATTTCCACTTTTTTTATCTTCGGTGCCATACTACTAGTTACCCAGATTTGATCAATCCTTGTCCATGTCATTTTGGCTTCAGAGAAAAAGGTTCCCTCTCTCTCCAGAGGGTTCCTTACTCTCCAAATATCAATCAAGTCCAGTGTATCAGTCATTTCAAAAAAAGTCTTTGGTAATCTTCCATCCTTTGAAATTATTTGTCTCTGTGCCTTGTCCATATTAGTGGAGACAACGCCATTCATGTCTCCCATCATTATAATTTTAAAGTCTAAATAGTCCATTAAAGTCTCATGCAACTTCTTGAAAAATTCCATCTTCCCTTCATTTGGTGCATATATTCCCAATATCATAATTTTTTCTCCTTGCACTTGTATTTCTATTGCCAGATATCTTCCTTGTTCATCTTTGAATATCATTTTAGGGGCCAATTTTTCTTTTGCATAAATCACGACGCCTCTTTTTTTAACCTTGTCTGATGAGATAAATTCTTGTCCAAGTCTCTTGTTTACGAGTAATTTCCTGTGTATCCTGGTCACATGCGTTTCCTGTAGACATATTAGATCCAATTGCTCTCTCTTCAAAATATGAAAAACTTGGCGTCTTTTTCTGGGAAGGTTCAAACCATTACAATTCCAGC